AAGCCTTGGGGACAGGGATGGGGCAGCCCATCTGGGGCTGAGACGGAAAGCAGAACTGCTCAGGGAGTGGAGTGGGCTGAGGCCCTGCATGGGACCTTGGAGGATCCAGAGCCAGTCTGAGGGAAGATGACGAAGGAGAGAAGAACAACAGCAAAGGGTGTGGACAGCCCCAGCAAGGCTGAGATGGACCGTTGTGGTGACAGACCAGGGATCACCTGGGGCAACAGAGGGCCCAGAAGCCTCACAGAGGGCAGTGCTACATCCTCACCTCCCCACAGGAGTCTTCACTTGCAAAGTGCCCTGCAAATAATCTCTCCCATGTCCCCCACTCATACCACCTAGCAAGTCTAGTATACAGGGGCTTGGAGGGAGGCAAGGGAAGAATGGCATGAAGGTACTTGGGCCCGCCTGTTGGCGGCCTTGCTGTGTGGCCACATGTACCCCCTCCTCTCGAGGCCCACAGGCTGCACCTCAGAGGGTGGAGACAACTATCCTGGAGGCCAGCTCCTTCCTAGCTAAGTGAGAAGAGGTGGAGCTAGTCAGCAGCACACACAGGGTCTACATAGCTGCACAACTCTCAGACAGGCCTTGGTGAACAGACAGAATTCCAGGACCAGCAGACAGCCCGGGGGGAAAGAGCTGCCCACCATGGGGAGGGACAATGGCTCCAAGACACAACCTAATTGGGTGCCCAGCTGCCTGGCACTGAAGCCCATCGATATTGCTTCCTCCTCGCCCACACCCAGCTGGCCTTGTCCAAAACACAATTAAAGCTCACTCCCAGTAACAAGACAGAAGGCCTTTCCATCTCTACAGTCTAGACAGGGCCACCAGCCAGGAGCAGCCAGCACCTGCCTCCACAACACCTAGACACCCAGTGTCCACAGTCCTGGAAGCAGCACCAGGGAGCACCCCAGGCTGATAGGCCTGAACAGGCTGCCTCAGACCCAGGGGCAGGTTAGAGGAACCTCAGAGAAGGGGCACATGGCAAAAGGTGGGCAGGGCTCAGGCTCCCAAAGCCGCCTCCCATCTGATGGACCTGCAGTAGGCTCAGCTCCTACAATGTGCCTGGCCAACTCTGGGTGCCCACACCAGGCCTGGGAGAAAGCAGACTGCCCCTGGCCAAAGTTTCCAATAGCAGGGCATCAGGGCGCTACACCCTTCCGAGACAGCACCTGGACTGGGATCAGGCTGCTGGGCTGCTCGTGGTCCCTCACTGACAAGTGAGAAGCAGCATCTTCCATTGAGGGGAGCTCGCATATTGGGCTAGCAGATAGCTACTGCTCACATCAGCCACTCTGATTTCTAACCTCCCTGTTCACCCAACTGGACAAGGCCCCAACCAGAGGAGAGTACAGTCCCAAGGAGAGAGCTCAGCCCAGCATGCAGGCCAAACGCAGCCACTGCAAAGGCAGGAAGCAGCTGAGAACAGCAGGGTGGGTGGGCATCTGACTCTCATCTGTACTGAGTGGTTTCACATCTCACTCTGGGTCCAGGGTTTATGAGGGTTTCTCTCAACTTCATTCTCATGTAGGAAATAAAGAAGGAGAAGCCCAGACAAACCAGTGAAGTGAAACAGGCACGTGCATGACTGACTGAGCCAACCATGCCCAGACTGGGGTATTAGAGGGCTGCCCGCCTCCTCCATAGCTCGCTGCACTCCCACAGCCTGGCTCCACAGGTCACCTCTTCCAGATGCCCCACACTTTAGTCCATCTAGTACTTTGTAGCTCTGACAAGAGAGGTTCAGGAGACTCTCCCTGTAAGGGCTCAAGGAAGGTAGCCCTGCCCCAAGCCACACACACAGGCAGCAGGCAGGGCTATAGCGCAGGCTCAGAGTGCAAGGCTGGGGCAGGCCAGGACATGAGGTCAGGAAAGGAGGTGGGTCCAAGGTCAGGCAAGCAGGTGGAGACCTGGCTGCACTGTGAGCAGAGGAACAAGAGAGGGTCACATGGACAGAAGCAGTTCAGAAGATGAGTTGTTGCCCATCCCAGAAGCCAGCAACCAGGGGTCAGGACAGGCCACTACCACAGGGATAGGCACACTGTCACCTGAGGAGGGGGCTGGCCACTATCAGAGGAGGAATGCTAGTCACTCTCAAAGAGAGACTAGTCACCCCAGTGGAGGGGTAGGTGCCACTGGGGAGGCTGGCTGGTTTCATGGGTCAATTCAACAAATATCTGCAACAAACTACAGCTGGCTCTGGAGATCCAGTCACGTGCGACTCCACAGGGAGCCACCCACTCCAAACCCTTCCACATCCTCTAGGGGCCTTGCAATTTGCATTCAGAAGCAACCAAGGTGAGCCTTGAGCCCAAGAGCCCCTTTGTGGTCTGCCCTCAGGAACATAGTCACCTTACAGCAAAGAAAGATGGCAAGAAGCCACCAGGCACACTCAGCCTGCTGCTGTGACATTAACCATTCTCCCTGGGCCTGTTTCTCCGTCTGTCCAACTCCACCCCTCCCTGCCCCACGTCCACGCAATGAGTCCTCTCTGCTCTGGCAGGCAACTCGAGCAATCTGGCCCTACAGGGCCTGGGCTGCCTGGACACCCGCAGGGGTCACTTCTATTCCCACGCACTGGCCCCTCCCTCCCTCGTCCCCAGAGCTAGCTGCTGTCACCAGGGCCTGCTGCAAACTGGGGAGATGGTTTTGAAAGGCAAATGACAATTTTCATTTTGTTTTTCCTGTTTCGAAGACCAAAGGTAGTAAGTGATGCAGGGAGAGTAGCACTCCTGGCAAATGCCTTCCGAGACTGACGCTCCCACCCAAATGCCCTTCCCCGGCACCAGCTGCGTGATGGTACAAAGGAGGTTCCCTGTCTCCTGCATGGCCCCCATGCAGAGGAGGAAGCCAAGGCGGCAAAGGTGGGGCTGCTTATATCATCCCAAGGCGCCCACCAAGACCCAGCACAGTAGAGCTACGAGAAGACTGAGCTCAGACAAGCTCAGGCATGCTCTGATGGCCTTCTGGTCTATAAGCAGGTCCAGCCCCTCAAATGAATTCAGTTCAGCCCTGTATTCACAAGGGTTCTAGATTGGCCTAGGACCCCAGGACAGCTCCATCCTGTATTGGGATAACTGCAGCAGCCTCTGCTCAGGGAACCCTTGCCCCTGGGAAAGCCTCCTACTCTATCCATATTCACTATGCAGACCCAAAGCATGAGCAACTTCTTCCACCAAGAGGACCTGGCAGTGCAGGTTGCCTAGGCCTCAAACTATAGAACCTCATCCTGGGGCTGCTCCAGCACCATGAGGTATGTTTCTGGCACCATCCATCCTGAGCAGTACAGCAGCCTGCAAGCAACACCAGGCAGCCTTGGCAATGCCCTGGGAGCAGGACTCTCAGGCTCAGGATGAGGAAACCCCTCCCCCAAACGTACAACAGCAAACCCCATAACCATCCTGTTGGCCCTGTTAAGTCAGCCATCAGGGATCCAGAAGTGGCAGGTCCTGCCGCTCAGCTCACCCTAGCCTGCATACCACCTCCTCTTGCCATCTCTCCTCCTCACAAGCAAGTATGGTCCATTCGGCAGCACATGCTTCTGTTCCTACTGCCCTCCCTGGACCTTCCAGCAAGCGTGTCTTCCTCCCATAGCTCTGTGTGAGCCCTCCCATCTGCCCCCCAGGGATAGGCCAAGCTGGTGCTGCTCTCCAGCAGTCCTGGGAGGTCTAGTTTGGGAGCTACAGGGGAGCATGTCCTGCTGCCTCTCCCAGAACCTGGACCCACATTTGCTTCTCTGGGGGAAGGGGCTCCACTGCTAGCAGAGGGACAGAAACACCTGTATGTGTTCAGTTGTTCTCTGGAAAATCTCCACCCAAGCACAGACATAACCTTCGGCAGCCTCCTGCCAGGGTAAGGCTGGGATCCAGGCAGCACTCCTCCCAGAAGCTGAAGGACTGGGAGGAAAGACAGCTCCCAGAGGCAAGGGGCACTGAGCAGAGGTCCTGAGAACTAAGTACTCCTCTGCCAGACTGAGGTTGGGGGGATATGACAGAGGCAGGGTAAGAGTGGCTCTGAAGTAAGAGGGTGAGGGAGAGGAGGCTGAGCCCCAGCTCCCTGTGTGTGCCCACCTCCTCCCAGGGAGGAAAGCCTGCTGATCATCTGGGAGGTGGAGGTGCAATAGGTCCTAAGCCAGTGACTTGGTTTACTAACTTGTTCACATCCCATTTTCTACAAGGATCTGCTCCAATGGGCCAATTGTTCCAGAAGTCCAGCCCTGGGATGCTTCAGGGCAGGCAGGCCCTAATGCCCCTGTAGATGAAGAGGCCCAGAGAGAAGGAAGGGTATGTCTCTGGTTATGCACTAGGCTCAGGCCCTACGACCATAGAGCAGTGTCTTGCTATGCTGCCCAACTACTGTGTTCTACATAGATTTCATCAAGGGGGCACTCGTGTGATCTCTCAAGAGATCACACATATTTACAGCTGCACAAACTGTCCACAGGCTACAGCTAATTTTGCCAGCAGGTGTGTGTGCAAACATTGAAAACCCAAGAAGAGGCAGAATCCAATCCCTGTACCTATGGCTGGCCCTGACAGCTCACCCAGCCACCTGCTGGCAGTATCACCAAATTGCAGGTTCAGTTCTGAGCATTTTTCTCAACCACCAGAAAGCCATCCAATTCCGGGAACTGTGCCAGATGCTCAGTCACTTTCCTCAAAGTTAAATACTTGCTGGAAATCCAAATGGGCAGCAAGGGAAATAACCAGTAGCTGAGAGATGACTCCTTGCCATGGCCCTGACTCTTGACCAGAATACTCTGCCTTATCAGGAATGTCCAGGAGGAGGTAGACAGGGCTCCTGGACTTTAGCCTCTCCACCCACTGCATCAGATTCCCAGGCAGGGCAATTGAGACAGGAAGAAAGGCTAGGGTCCAGCTCCAGCCCAGGGCCAGGGGTGAGCACACCACAGCAGGCTGGTCCAGGGGTACAGCCGGCCCCCAGGGTAGAAACCCCACAGTGAGTGCATACACCACACCTGTCCTCACAGGCCTCACCTCCATCTGTAGGATGGTTTCTTCACGCAGCCGGATGGCCTCCAAGTCTTCTTCTGTGATGTCTGGAAGCAGCTCCTGCTCCTGGTCCTGCCACATGTTATCACCACCGTTAAAGATCTTCTCGTCATCAGCCAGCTCCGTGAAAGGAGCCCGGGGACTCTGCTGATGACAGATTCAGGCCCAGTTACTACCCTACACCCCGGTCAGGGTCAGACATGACACACACACCATTACTACCACACATACAGGTCTGGGTCAATCTTCTTCCTCAGCCCTGAGCAGGTCACCTTTGCTGGATAGCAGATGAGGCTCCAGACAACTAGGCCTCTGAGCTCTTGGCCATCCCGTAAGGCTGAAAGTAGGCCATATCCCAGGGCTGCCATATGTGGCAGACTAGGGGATCAGGGACATGGATGCTGGACCCCTGCCCTGTGGCATGCGCCCCATCCCAGGTCTGACTGGAGGGAGAGCTTCAGCAGGGTCTAGTTCCAAGGCCTGGGCTGCCACGCCCTGGGCCAACTTGCAGTACCAGGACAGTCTCAGCCCTAAACACACGTGCTCTATGGTTTCAACCTGTCTGTAAAGCCCCAGGAACAGGCTCTGTGCACATGAAGTCCACCTTCTTGTTTGGGGGCTATGGACCCACCACAGGCCCCAACAAAGAGCCAGGCACAAACCCAGGTGCAGCTATAAGGCAGGGGCAGTGGAAACAGACTCAGGGAGGCACAGTAGGGCACAGACATACCCAAGGGACCCACTCTGCTATCTGCACTGGGGCCAGGGCTTGAGGGATCTTTCCACTTGTTTTTGTTCATTGATTTCATTCACTTTTATATTCAATACAATGATGTGTTTTTTCCCCTCAATGAACCCTGTTTGCTCTCGGGGGTGTCAGTCATGATGGGGCCTTCTGTGACAGTGGGGCAGAAGGAATAGTCCATCCCTGTGCACAGGTCAGGTAGAAAAAGATTCTCAGGATGGGGCTCAGATCCCAACACCAGAGCTTGCAACTGAGACACAGCTCCCAACCCTGCATGTCCCACCTGATCACCAAGGTCCCTGAACTCAGTCTCCCCAACCCTCAATGGCGGGCAGGTCGAGGTCTTCTCTCCAGTTCTGGGAAATAGTCCCCATCAGATCATGGGCACAGCCAGGTTGGTACCTCTGCCTTCACAGCAGAGCCCCAAGGCAGTATTGTAGCCCAAGTGTGCCTAGTTTCCTGGATCCAGCTAGAGATGGCTGGTCCCAAACCCTGGGACATCATTCTGTGTTTGGACACCTTGGCTGGGCCTGGGGTATAGAAGGTGGCCTCTCTGCCCTCCTTCACTTCATGCTGGAACCCGTTAACCTCCATCCAGAGTTAGCACTCTCCCTGGACAGTCAATTGGGGTTACAGCTAACTCATGTACTCCAGGTCCCCCACCCTTGCTGGGCCCTGTGAGTGTGGGCAGTTGGAGATGGGGGGGCTGCAAGCAGGGTTGGGACCCAGCCAGGAACCTGCACTTGCTGTCCTTCTGCTGCGGAACACTCCAGGACCTTCCCCAGTCATCAGCAAAGGGACTACAGAAACTGCAGTTCATTTATTCTGCCTTTCTCTCATTACAGGACCCACTGTCTGCCTGAAACAAAAGCCACCTCACACCCCTGTAAAGGTCAGGGTAGCCACTGCAGGGCTCTGGCCTATCCCATGCCACAGGAAGTGCCTACATAGTGGCCACGCCCAGCAGGCCTCCCCAGAGATGTTGCTCAGGGTCACGTGCATCTCCAGGGTGCAGAAGGCAGAGTCAGGAAAACACAGGGCCTGCCACACAGTCTGCAGGATGCCCTGGTATCCTGAGCCCCAAAGGAGGCCCCTCCATCTGCAGAGTGGGGCAGGACTCAGAGCTGGAAGGTTCCAGAACCTTCCACCGGTCTTGTGTTTGTTTCTGGCACACTTTGGGGGAGGAGGGTACCCAGGGCACCCTGTGTGGGGCCTTGTAGCTGAAATGGGTGGACAGGTGAGAGCCCAAGGGCTATGGCAGCTGTGTGGCCCTGCGGCTGCCTCCCACCACTCTGCCTGAGGCCACTGGTAATGACAAAGCCTTCGGAGGGAGGTGTAAGGCAGGTGCTGTTCCTCAGGACCCACAAGGTGAGGGACTGTGAAGCCGCCCTCACCTGGTTCTCCTTCCCACACATCAGGCAAATGTGGGGAAGTCAACGGAGGCCTTTAAATAAACATGCAGATAGATGAATATAATGTAAAAGATCTAAAAAATCTGTTGTCAAGAGCTACTCGTCCAAGGCGCTAATTATCGCCTCCCTTCCCTCCCATGTGGGTGGGAGGAAGTGAGCAGGGCCTGGTGGGTAGGGAGGGAGGTGCTGGCCCCACGCCAGGTCCCAGCTCCATGGTGCCTCCTGCACTACAGCTCTACTGAACTTCCTGGGCCCCAGCACTGGCTGTCAGTGTGAGGCCCAGACAAGCCACCACAGTCACTGGGCCTTAGTGACCTCATACATGGGAAGGGTGATGCCCATGAAGATATCCCAAGGCCTGTGACCTGCGATCACCATGCACTGGCGCTGTCTAACCCTTCCTGTCTGCTGAGCACTTGGAGGGCATGCTATTCCAGCCCACCCAGGTGTCTGGATCTCCTAAGGTGAGGCTGCCCCACTGTGAGGTCCAGGACAAGTTCCTTAACTTGTCTGAGCCTCAGTTTCCACTTCTATGACACAGAACTGTTACCACCCCACATCCCAGAGAAATCTTGGAAAGAGAACAAGGTACAGCAAACAAAGGCGAGAGCACAGTGAAGACAGGTAATGCTCAGATGTCACTTGTAACCCTCCCCTGGGAGTTGGGAGATCAGGAAGAACCATGCTGTGAGCCACCAGTGGGGCAAACCTCTGGAGCAGCAGGCCTGAAAACAGCCAGCTGAAGCCTGTCTGCCTGCTCTGAGTCCTGACCTGGGGCACACATGGGCCTCACCGCAGCACTGTTCTGGGACAGGAGAGAGCTGGAAGAAAGTGTGCATTCTCCACCCAGTCAGCATGGCCATGCTGGGTGAAGACAGGGTCATGGCATGCTCTGTAACTTTCTGTGGAGTCCAGGCAGCCCTCCACTAGCTGAGACCAGAGAGTGCAAGGCCACCCATACTGACTGCAAGGAACTAGCGATGGACCCTTTGTCCTGTTGATGGGGAAGGAGAAGCTGGGAGGACAGGACAGGAGAGGGCACAGGACAGATGGGTGCTCAGTCTGTCCTGTGCACATGGCAGCACAGCTGGGGGCACCCTCATCTCCACAGGCCCCACCCTTGCCAGAAGCACAGAACAAAAGGCAGGGAGGAGAAAAGGGTTCAGCATGGGTCCCTCCCAACCTTCCTGAGAGAGGCTGACAAAGCCTCCTTTATTCTGCCCACAAAGGCCCAATTTGGCTCTTTAGCTCTGAAGCCTGGATTAAGGATTAGCTGGCCAGGTGCTGGGGCAGAGCAAAAGCCTGTGATGGCTTTCCAGCTTTAGAGAAAAAAGGGTGATAAAGGCAGCTTTCTCCTCCTTGGTCAGGGTAGGAAGAAATGTGAACTGTAGAGACCACTGGAGAAGGGGCTGTGCAAGGTTTGGTTTCCCATGAGAAGAGACAAAGCTGGGATAAGCATTTGTTTGGGTTTAAGTTTGGAGATAAGGTCAGCTCAGGCCGACCCTGCCCACCTCTGTCCAGGGGAAGTGACGAGGGCTCTGGGAAACAGGGACTTTCTCATGCACTCCAACCCTGGTGGAGAACAGGGTCAGAATGCAAGACACTCACTTGCTTGGGAAAAGCACCCCACAGCTGAGCATCGGTTTCTCCAAATGGCACTCAGCATTTATTAGCTGATGGAAGTCTCTGTCAAAGCTGTTGCAACCCTTTCCCTAGCCCCATAGTAAATAAAAGGGAACTGGGGCCAAGAGACATGGGGCAACTCTGCCCTGTACCCCAGACACAGAAGTGTGAGGAAGGACTTCTGGTCAGCCTGCAGAAAGGAGCACATCTGACTCCTGTGGCTGGGGGACAATGAAGTTCTGGTGAGAATCAGTGTTGAGTTGCCAAGGACAGAGAGCATAACATACTGCTGTGGCTTGTCACTCACACTCACCAGTCACAGCTCTACCTGGGTCAGGATTGCCCAGAGCACTGAGGTGCTGCTCATCAGCTAAGCCCAGCCAGGTTGAGACCCTGGACCCAGCTGGAAGTGCCTCCCACCATGGCCTGATTGCCGACTCCACACAGGCTGAGAGCTGCTCACACCCATGCCCAGCTCTCAGCTCAAGGGACAGCAGGTGGCAGCAGGTACCCCTCACTCCTGCCAGGATGGCTCAGGTGCAAACAGCAGCCCTAAGTCTGCAATGCCAACTTACCAACAAGGCTTTTGTTGAACTAGGTCAAATATTGTCTCATCATTTATAGTTTGCAAATTTCCCAGAAACAAACTAAGCTTTGGTAATTTCTCAAAAGCATAGCTGATCATCTCCTCCTTGTTAAAAAACAGTACTGAAGGATCAACCTACAGGCCAGCACACAGGTACTAAGTGTCAGTCTAAAAGCATCCAATGGAGACACTTCCCGCCACACCACAGTGCACAGTGGCCTCTCCAGCCCATCTGTCCTCACCATGTCCCTGGCTTCTTTGGCCTCCCCTCTGCTTGGCCTGACTGCGAACCCTACAGAACTGGAATTGCCCAGGGCAGAATGTTTAGCTTTCTTGACTCAGCATGACGGCCATAGTTCCACTGGTGGACCTCGGCAGCCACAGCTCATTCTTTTGGCTGCAGTACAGTCTCTTCTTGCATGAATTCAGCACCAATGACTCTGCTCCACTGCAGGCTGGGTTTGAGTGCTGTGTGTCAGCACTCTCACATGTGACTTTTGTTCAACACGTGTGCTTTTCCTTTGGTGAAAACTATAGGATTACAGGTAAGAAAATGCTAGGCCTCAGAATCACTGTGTTCCAAATCAGAGAAACATACAAGTCTACACCACCATCAGCAGAGCCCAACAGCCCCAGCTGCCTCTCATCCGGCTAACATCAGGCATCACCAGGTGTCTTTACTCATGTTCTTTCATTATTTTTAGGTGTGAGGTAGTGTGCAACAATCTATCATCGTGGGTTTACATTCCATTTTTCTAGTAACTGATGTGGTTGAGTACATGTTCACATCCTTGACAATTTGGAAATAAACCCTCTTTTAGAATGTGCCCTTCTAAGACTTGGAGTTGTCTTCCTTTTTTTCTTTTGACTTGTAAGGAATCCTTATATGTTGTGGATAGAAATTTTTTCAGATCTATGTTGTGCAGCCACCCTCTCACTCTGTGAGCTGCCTTTTCACTCTCTTAACGGTGATTAATTTTGCAAGTCTAATTTGCCAATCTTATTTTTGAAGTCAGCACTTCTGTGTCTGTGCCTCCTCTGGTGTGTTCCAAGAGGGTTACTGTCTCATCTTCCTCATGAAGTCTATGGCCCCTGTGCACAGGTGAGCTTGACTTTGTAAAAGCTCTTTTCCTCTAGTTCAGATATTGAGGTGATCCAGCATCAAGTCCTGTATAAAGCATGCAGCCCCACTGTGGGGCACCCACCTCAAAGACACTAACCCAGCCAGCAGCATGTCGGTCAACATCCAGCCCACCTCACCCGGACCTACATCAGGTTCACACCATGTTTGATGTTGTGGTAGAAGCCCTCCATTCATCTTCAGAATCATCTCCACTATTCTGGGTCTTCTGTATTTCCACCCACACCTCAGAATCAGCCTAAGCGCATGCTACCACCTGCAGATTTCCAACTGGATCATGCAGGATCGGCAGACCAGCTGGTAAGAACCAAATTCTCTGTAAACATGGCATTCCCTCCATTCTTTACATCGTCCCTATCTCTCTCAGTAGTGCTTTGTTAGTTCTCCACACAGAGGCCTTAAACAGTCACTCAGATTTCATCCTACTTTTGATGCAATTGAAATGGTGTCATTTTGTTTGTTTTTGAAACAGGTCTGACTGTATGGCCCAGGCTGCTCTCAATTCTAAGCTCAAGCAATCCTCTTGCCTCAGCCTCCCGAGTAGCTAAGGACCACAGGTGTATACCACCATGCCTGGCTAGAGTGGTATCACCTTCTAAAAGTCGTTTCCAAGTTGAAAGAGTCCTCTTGGATACTGACCTGGGAAGAGTGACCTTATTACAGGTATTTATCAGTTCTAATGTCCTCACAGATGCACTCAGTGCTGGGGTACAATGGCCATGCCTGACAGTCACTTCACCATACCTGGTCCTCACCCTTGGTTACCTCTTCACAGCTGCTACACTACAAAGCCCCATGAGATGGCAAAGAAGGGGATGGAACTGGACCTTTGTGTTGTCCTTGATCTCAGAAGACATGTCTCCCCTCCACCTGTAGCATCAGCTACAGGATTCTGGAGACTCATCTGGTCAGGTCAGGGCACTCTAAGGACGCTTACTTTGCTGAGTGTTCTGGCCTCCAAGTGCTTGTCTGTATCTATTGGGATGACCTGATAGGTTTTCGCTCACACTCGACAACTACACTGTTTCTGAGCACAAACCAGCCTTGCATTCCTGGAGCAAATCCCACTTTGCAATGATGGGTTGCCTTCTCGCACAGTGCTAGGTCTAACCGGTTGGGACCTTCGCTTTCAGGTTCACGAGCAAGGCTGGCACACTGCTTCCCACAGCGGTGTCCTATCAGAACCTGGAGCCCAGCACCACAGGCTGTGCAAAGCACAGCAGAGCTTCCTCTTCCTCTTCATACAAGCTCTGCAATGGTTTGTGTGAACTGTTATTTACTGGACTGTTTGGAGGAATTCTCCTGTAGAGTCATCTAGGACTGGCACTTCCTTTGTGGGACAGTTATTAATTATAGATTTACTTTAATAGCTGTTGAGCTTTCCAGATTCTCTGTACATCTTGGCAAGTGAGTTTCCTAAAGAAGTCTATATCTCATGTAAATTATCTAATGTACTGGCAAAAAGTTGTTCATAATACCTTTGTATAACTCTTTTTAGCTTGCAAAATCTCTAATCATGACCCATTTTCATCCCAATGTCAGAGTCTGGATTTCCTCTGCATCTGGACTCATATTGAGAGGGTGCAATGCCCTATTAACCCTCAGCAGAACAGGCTCTTCTGGCTTTTTTGTTCTTCTGCTCACCATGCCTATGTCTTCTATTCTGCTGGTCTCTGTTCTTGTAACTTCTAACCACAGTCTGCAAACCTGTGTCAGCCTCTGTGTGGCAGTCCTCACCACTGCCCTGAGCACCTTGTCCTCATCATGACAGGGCTCCCATCTGGAATCATGGTCCTCCTCCCCCACCAGGATGGTTCTGTCACTCACAAGCTCTCTGTATTTGTTTTTCAAAAAATGTTTTCATTTCACCTTCCTGGAGGGAAGGGCAGGAGTGGCTGCCTCCTGTGGGCCTGAGCCTCTACTTTCTGCCTCAGGCCTCAGAGTGCCTCAGTTTCCATGCACTCTTTCAGCTGCAACATGCCTGCCAGCAGAGTGGTTGCCTCTCGAGGGAACAGCACTGCTGCCATGAAGCTCATTCTCCAGGGTGCAGACCCAGGGCCTCTGCTGCCTGGAGAGCCCTGAACTCCCATGCTTGTCTTCCCGACCTCTGAGGCCACTGCAGCTACAGGCCACGCCCTGCTCAGCAAGCCAGGCCCAGCTGATAAATGCTCCAGGACATAGAAGGAAGTGGAGACAAATTGATTGTATTGGAATCTTTGCCTTTAAGTCCTGGCTTCTTGACTGCTCTGATGCCTCCACACTGTAGCTGCGCAAGTGTGTGCATCTCTGTCTCTGTGGGTGCATGTGTCTTAATTCTGCTTTTACAATGGCTCACACAGGGAGGGTGGCTGGCACCATGGCTCAGATGTGGTTGGAATATGTCCCCAGGGATGCATGTGTTAGAAACTTGAGCCCCAGGGTGGTGATGCTAAGAAGTGGTGGAAGCTTTAAGAGCTGGAGCATAGTGGGAGGCTGTCAGGTCACTGGGACACTGCCTTTAGAAGGCAGTTCCGGTGAGCCCTGGATAGTTCACTCAAGAGTGGGGTGTTATAAAGGACTCACCCCTGAGTCACTCTCTGGCATTCTGTTTTACCCTTGCAGGCATTCCCCCCACTGTGATGCTATCTGCCATGAGACCCTCACTAAAGGACAAATGGATGGGGCTGCATAACCTTGACTTTCAGCCCCTAAATCTACAAGTTAAATAAATCATTTTATGAGGTACCCAGCCTCAGGTGTTTTGTTACAGCAACAGGAAGCAGGATAAGACAGTCTGAATACAAGTACTCCTGCACAGCATACAGACATCTCATTGGTCAGTATTTGGGAGCTTCGCCCACATCAAGCACTGTGTAGAACTTGAAGGGAAAACCACCAAAGTTTTAAGAGCTATTTGTCAAAGCAGACACCCTAATGGAGCCCCTGCCCTTGGTCCTCTCTGCTCTTCCCCAGAGCACAGATGGTGGTGGGTTCTGTACTGTCCCCTAAGGCCCCTAACCATAATCAACACTCAGCACCCACCTGCTTGCCGCCCCTCTGCACCACCGGAAGCAGTGCTCTGGCTTTTTCTGAAATTTTCTGTAGGGAAAAGTAAAAGAGAAGGTAGAAATTTAAAAAAAAAGGTGGGGAAGAGAGAAAAGAAAGTCAGATAGTGGGTACTGGACAATGGCCCAACGCAGTGAGCTTCTGCTCCCTGGAAAACAAGATCCTTAGGCTCTGCAGGGACTTTCCTAGGTGGTCTTTGCCAATGCACATGTGCTTGCTGGGCCTCAGTTTCCCCACTTTTCACAACAAGGTGAGATCTGTTCTTCCTACCTCCCAGGAGGTGCCACAAGGCCACCTCTGGGCAGCACTTCTGAAGGTAAAAGCTTTTGTGATATTTGTTCTGAGGGTATGCCACCGGATCCTGGCCACCTGCACAATGTCCCCAATGAGGGCCTCTTCCTCTGCTCTGGGGGTGGCTATACCAGGCCAACTGGGGACAAGACAGCCAGTGTGGGTGCTCAAGGGACCAGGCCCCATGCCTTCCCCCTGCCCTGGCCCGGCCACCAGCCCACACCTCCCTTCACATCTCACCTTTTGTACCACTCCATAGCACTGAACAGCATCTGAGAGCTGGGTTTTCAATCGGTCTAGCTGTAGGCGCTCCTGCTGCAGACAAGAGGGTGGCTTACAGGGCACTGTTCTCCCCTTGCACCCAGCTCCAACTCTGGGGCTTGGGTCCCCAGACCTCATTGCACCCTTCCACCCCGACAGGGCCGCACCTCCCACCTTTTCCATCCATTGCCACACCGTCTACCCTAAGCACTGGGCTCATTGCCATCTATGTCCTCAGCTGGCATTGCTGAGGACACCAGTACCACTCAGGTATTGTCAGCACAGCCCATGGAAGCCAGAAGTTACTATAGCATCAGATGGCATGTGGACTTGACCCACGATGGCCACCTAATTCATGAGTATTACAATTCCATGTCACAGTTCAGGAGACCACGGCCCAAGTCCTGACTGGCTTGTTCCAGCTACCCAAAAAGATGCAGTCGCAGAGCTAGTGCTCTGTGATAAAGGCTCCCAGAGTGTCCAGCAATGGCTGAACAAGCAAGCCTTGGAATTCAGCACCTCCCTTTCTGGTTTGCAGTAAGCATGATGGACTAGCAGGACCCACCTTCCCACCTCTGGCCAGGCGGAATCAGTACCATGAAAAGCAGGCCAGCTCCCAGCACCTTGGGTCAGGTGGGGCAGAGAGCATGCCCACTCAGCCTGGGGCACTTCTGTACAGTTACAGTTAAACAGGCCCCTCCACACCTGTGTACCCCCACCCCTCCCAGCCCCCCACTCATGACAAGGAGTTGCATGCAGGTAGGTAGGTGGGTGGGTGGGCTGCTGCCGTGCCAAGAGACAGGCTCTCTGACTGATAGTGCACACCACTATCCCTGGGCCTATCGATCGATCTCTGCACACCGGCTCTGTGGAGCCTGATTTGGTGTCAGTGGATCCTCTGGTCACAGGCCCCACATGTGAGCCCTTTATAGATCAAGGAATCAGAAGACAAAATACTACCTACGGTGCAATCTACCACACTGCATGGGATGGAGGCCTGCACTGCCAGGACCTGCACTGACATCCCAGGTTAGACCAGACCCACTCAGGAGAAGAGTGGGGGGCCTAACCACGCTGCCTGGCTGTTCTGGACTCCAGAGTCCTGAGAGTAAGGGCTCCAATGCCAATTTCATGAGGAAGCAGTGAAAACTGCACAGAAGCCCAGCTAGGCTGCCCGTGGCTCATGCTCAGTGATGGCAGTGGCAGCGATGGCAGTGGCAACAGTGGCTCAGGTGGCCCTTGTCACCGCTGTCACTCCCCAAAGATGGAGCAGGATGAGGGAGCTGCCCCCTACTGTGAGTCTGGAGCATACTTCATGACAGATGCCTGCTGAATAGGTGAAGGGACCTAGGCTTTTCCTCAGTCCCAGAGACTGAGCTAAACTCCCCATGCCAGCAGCTGTGCGCCTACACACACACTTGGCCTAATGTGGCCTCTCTTTTCCACTTGGCACCTCCCACTCTAGGCAGAAGCTTTCCCACCCCTGTGGACCCCATGTGCACACTGCCCAGAATAGTGTCCCCTTCCCAGGAAGCCACAACCATGCAGCATCTCAGCCCCATCACTGGCCCCCATCACACTCTGCACTAATACCCCCCACACACACCCAGCACTGATTTCTTCAAGGGAGGGAATCCTGTCTCCTTTGTTCCCTCCTCCCTGCATCTGCTAAGTGCATTTTTTACATGGGAGGGAGTGGGAGAGGCTGGAAGAAGAGAGGGAGGCTGTACAATCAGTCCTGCGTATCCACAGCTTCCACACTTGCAGATTCAACCAAGAATGGAAAATTCAAAGACAAAGTTGTATCTGTACTAATGGTTTTGTCATTGTTCCCTAAATAACACAGTGTGACAGCTTCTTATACAGCCTCTACACTGCGTCAGATATTACACATAACCTAGAGATGACTAAAGTGTATGGGAGGACTGCATAGTTTATGTGCAAACACTGCCCCATTTTACATACAGAATATATACAATCTGAGGATTTTGGTATCCGAGAGGGGTTCTGGACCCAATTCCCTGTGGACACCAAAGGTTGACTTTTGAGTGTCCTTCTCATGCTCAAGGGCTCAGGCTCTGTGTTGTAGCTGAGATGAGAGCTGGACCCAGAAAGACCAGAGTTCACATTCAGCCATCTGGCTGGGGCTCCTCCCTGGCTGCCCTGCCTTGGGGAGGATCCTCTTCCCTGCTGAGAGGGGGTGAGATACCCAGCAGCCTCAGAATCTGAGGGGAAGACCCCAGGAGCCAGGGCTTAGAGGCATCATGGCCTTGGCCAGTGCCACGGCTTAAAGTACTGCTGCTTGTCCGAGCATGAGTAACCCACAAAGTTGGTATGTCTCACACAATCAAAGACACAGTAGGCACTGACTAAATATCCATTCAGCTGGACTGAATGAGTTGCTAGCCTCACCAGGAATCAATCATTGGGACTACACTCACTCGTTCCACAAAAACACCTTCCGTGGAGCAGTGTGGCATTACCTGGGGCCTAACACATGCACCCATGAGAGGCACCCAGTGAGTATTTCTGATGAAGAAGTAAAGGAGCAAACAGAGGAAAGCACGCACAGGCACAGAATACAGAACAACGATACCGCAAAAAGGCCAGGTGCAGACAGCAATGTGACAAAGCCACTGGAAACACAGATCGTCACATCGTGGATGTCTCCAAGGACTCAGAACCAGAGGAGTACCCATCTCTCCCAAGAGGAACTGAGGGTGTGACTGCAAGATCACATGAGAGCACCTGCTGGGCCACCTGAGCAAAGGTGTGAGTGCTTACATAGTTTGACCTTTGGAATACTCTCTCCCTGTCACTGGACAACCACCCACCACCTCTATGGCACTTTTTAGTGTAACTCAACTTTAGGGACTGGGCTAATCTTTTAGGAGCGGTTTTACTGAAGTATAATTTAGGTATCACAGAATCCACTTGTGTGAAGTGTCACTTCAGCTCTGTGCACTTGCAAAACAATGCCACAATCCCATTTTGGCACATTCCCATCACCCCAGGTGGACAATCTGCTGTGACAATCGAGTGTCCTCTGAGGCAGAAAAGCAGCAGTGGACAGTGAGCACAAGACCAGTGAGGCTGGGCTCATGAGCAGGTGATCCTTTGTCACACACACCCTGCAGTCTCCAGGGCTCAGGCAGGGTGTGGACAATGGAGATGGAGTATGCTGGCCTGGAGTGGGTGGGTGGCACGGCAGAACTACAGTGGTGACTGCCATGCTGCTAGTGAGTACAGGCAGTGACGGGTGGCAGGGAAGGTGCAGTAAGAGTGGGAGGGAAGAGGGCAGGAGGAAGAGTAGGAGAGGAAGCATAGACAGGATCACCATCTGCGTTCAGAAGACTCGGGCACCTTTGAGCCCCAGAAGAGCAGGCTCGCTCAGTAGACAGCAGCTGCCTGACCGCCTGAGAGTACGGGGTTCTGCTCATGGAGCCACGTCTGCACACGCCCACCTCCCTGTGTCTCACTCAGCCATGTCCCTACCCCACCACAGGAACCAGGGCCCTGCCATGGCCAAGTCCCAGGCCCCCAGGGAAACATACCGGGCAGGAGCCCTGCAAGAGCTCTGACATCCGCTTCGTGGCACTGGCACTGGCCGTGACAGTTCTGTTGGTCTCCTGTTGCACTGTGTGCCTGGGCAGAGGAGGAGGGAGCAGTTGGGGGAAGGGTGCAGTAGTGAGGTCAGAAGAGCAGGGAGAGGCAGAGTGGAGGTAGAATGGGCAAAGATAAGAGGGAAGAGCAGCAAACAGGCAAAGGCACAGGGAGACAAGCGATACAACAGGTGAGCGTGGCAAAGACTCCAACCCAGAAAAATGGTGGAGGGAGAGAAGGGCCAGGGTAGGGGCACAGAGGGACAGGCAGAAAGCGCAGGAAGATGCCGGAGATGGCAGAAGGTGGAGTGGGCATGGGGTAAACAGACAGGGAGAGAAACAATAAGTAAGCTCTGGAACAACCCCAGAGGACCACCAATCTGCCACTGCCAGGATGACCCCAAATGCTCCAGAGACACATGGCTTGAGCCCTCTGGCCCTGGACAGTGCCTGCATTCACTGCCCCGTGAAGGCCCTTAAAGCCAGACAGAATGTGGGGCCTCTGCCGGACCCCAGGTGAGCCTGTTCCCACTAAGAATGGGAGCCCAGGCCTCTTCAATGCCAGACCCAGCTTCAATTCCGAGCGAGACCCACAAAGATAACTTGACTCCTTATGGCAACTTTCAGGGTGGACACTGTGTAGGCCCTGTCCTTAAAGACCACTAACCAGGCCTGTACCACATGATAAGATGGACACCAGGAGGCCAGGGAAGCCCTGCCCAGCACCACAGGTCAGGCACAGGACAGTCTGCAGGTGGGACCTGCTGCTGCCTCCCTGACACAGCCCCTGGATGGCAGAGCATCTACACACAGAGAAGTGGAGTGGCAGTCCGTGTGGGAAGGCAACCAAACATGCCGGGGTAGGGGGGTCAAGGACAAGTGTGAGCTGAGGACCCGTACCCTTGGGCCACAGAAAGGCTGATGTGGGGGGCAGGCCCTGGCCCTGAGACTCATTACATGACTCCTGACCAGTTGGTCTCCTCTCCTGGTCTTCCTCCCTCCTGTGGCCCTCCCAGCCCAGGGGCTATTTCACTATACTGACCAAGCACCAAGCCCAGAGCTCCCGCACAATCATCTCCCCATCCACCATCTCCCCATCCACCATCTCCCATCCACTCCCCGTGAGGACCTCTTCAGTGAGCTCACCCAGCCTTTGCTGCCTGACACCCATCTAAATGCCACCATCCCATGGTCCTGTCCCCATCTGAACCTGAACTCCAAAATGACCTACAGAATAGTCCCTTGGCAGCTCTGCCCAGGTGCTCCGGCAGAGCAAATTCAAGTGTCTGGACCAACCCTGCCTCTTCCCCTCTCTGCCTCGGCCATTCTGTTCTTCTAGTCCCTGCAGCAGAGGCCCAGGAGTCCTCTTATCCATCTGTCCACCATCCTCACCCCAGCTCACACCATCAACAACTGACGTGACTATGGGAGACACATGCCAGAGTGGCACCTGCCCCATCCCCCTGGGATCTCTCGGACAACCTACTGCCTCCACATGTGGTGCCATGATGCACAGCAGCTCCAGTCAGGCGGAGAGGAAGGCCATTCACAGAACTCCAGCCTCAGCGCTCACTGTGATTCCTCACTTCATCCCTACCCAAGCCTAAGTGTGAGGTGTTGCAGGCCCTCCCTGCAGAGACAGCCCTAAGTCTCTGGCTCCACCTCCTAACAGCACCGCCTTGCCAGCTGCTTCCACTCCAGCTGCAGAAGACTCTGCTGTGAGCAAGCAAGTCAGACAACCCCTGCCTTGGGGCTATGCTCTTCTATAACCCTGCAGCTCCTGGACAGACGGAGACAGGAACCCAGCTGTTAGCTGGCAACGCCCCAGCACAAGCCCTGGCTGGCTCCACGGCCCACACTTGCCTCTGCAGCATACTGACCTCTCCACTGTGCTCCAGACTCTGTCCCAAACAGAGCAGGGAGGAGCCCCGGTGCTGCCTACATTCTCATGGAGCAGTCTGGTCCAGGTTGAGACAGCAGGGCCTCTTCTAGGAGGCATCCCCTCTCCGGCCCTCACGAACTGTGGCTATCATATTATATGAAAGCAAGCAAACCCCCCTTACCCAACATGGCATCAGCCCTCTGTGCCACAGCCCTAGTTGACAGCCAGAGGCCTAAAAGCAGCCATAAAGGGAGTAAGAAAGGAGTGTCTGCCACCAAGAAAGGCAGCCAGCATGGCAGAGCATTTGGAGATCCTCCACATCTGTCCACTGCAGTGAGCCCAACGCAGAAACCTCCACGTGCAGCTCTGGTACCAGATCACCCCCACGCTGGGAGGTGGTGAGCAGGAAGTTGAGGATGAGGCAGTGAGACCTGCAGGCAGTGCATACCAGAAGTCACCACTCAAGCTCTGGCATCAAAAAGAGAGGATATAATCGGGCTGGGGGCATGACTCAAGTCCTGGAAGTCCCCCTAAGGGCCAGCAAACTGCGCACACAGGAAGTAGAGGATGAGAGACTGTAAAGATGATAGGGACCAGGAAGGAGACCAATGACAGAAACAACCAATTCTTTAGAAGATCAAAAGCTTTCACATTGGTAGCTAGAGGAGTCCAGAAGGAAACCACCCAAATTACCAATCTGGAGAAGCGGGGCCATGGCTGCAGAGGCAACATGGAAAGGATGGTGAGAATGCCATGACCGTGCCATGCCAATAAATTTGACACCTAAGATGCAACAGGAACTCTCCCTGGAAGACAAGAATCATCAGAACTCATTCAAGAGCTAAGCAAGAGCTGGGAGTGGTGGCTCACACCTGTAATTCCAGCTACTGGGGAGGTGAAGATTGGGACAATCACAGTTTGAGGCCAGTCAGGGCAAAAAGTTATTGTGCCCCATTTCAACAAGCTGGGCATAGTAGCATGTATCTGTGATCCCAGCTACTTGCGAGGCTAGGTAAGGGGATCATGATCCGAGGCCTGCCCAGGCAAAAGTGTAAGACCCTTCCTAAACAGTAACTAAAGCAAAAAGCGCTGGAGATGTGACTCAAGTGGTAGAGCGCCTGCCTCACAAGTGCAAGGCCTGAGTGCAAACCTCGATACTGCCCAAAACCCAAAACAAAAAAAAGGGACAGAACCCCAAGATCTCAGAGTGTGACAAGATTAAATTTCTACCAAAAAGCATTGCCACAAACACAGGCACAGTTTCACTGACAGAGAGGAGGCAGCACCAGTGCTATGCAGTTGCTCTAGGAATACAGGAGAAGGGATGGTCACAGTGCATAACAGCAGCTTTGCCTCAACACAGAAACCTAAGCAAGGAATCTGAGAAAGAATAGCTATCCTTCAGGAATACAGGAGCAAAAACCTTCAACAAAACAGTAGGAACTGAATTCTACAACACGTGAAGGAGCTGCTATGCCATGGCCAAGAAGAGTTTGTCCAAGGGATGCAGGGTTGGCACAACATTCAAAAATCAGGCATGTAATTCTCAGGTGAGCAGAAAAGTTTAAAAAAGGAGACCATCCCTCAGGAGGCTATGGGGGAAAGCCTCAACAGCATTCAACACTTGATGGTGACTCGGACTCTAAGGAACCCAGGGGAAAGAGGGCCTGTGAGGCAGAGCAAAAGAACCAAATCCAGCTTCCTCACAGTGAAAAGCTTCCCCTAGGCTGGGGACATGGTCCTCCCCTCCACTTGCACTGTGTTCCCATGTCATCCCACACTGTAACAGCACAGTACTGAGGGGACGAGAGCTAAGGGAGCACCACAGATGATCCGAGGACACCCCAGCAAAGCTCCTGAAACCTACACGTGAACCTAAGATGGGCCCAGGGTGCGAGGAGGTACGCAAAACCCAGCCACATTTGCAAGCTGTAGCCAACAACTGGAAAATGAAATGTGAACAATAGTGCCTTTGTCACAGTATAAAAACCATGTGTACACTGAGAGCAGGCATTGCTGAATAAAAGAAAGAACGACTGCACTTGTGAAATGGAAAACTTTAATACTGAGATGTCAATTCTTTTTTTTCAGGGCTGGGGATTGAACTCAGGGCCTCACTAGAGCCACACACACCCCAGTTCCTTGCTTTTAGCTTATTTTTCAGGTAGAGGTTTTATACTTTTGCTCTTGCAGTCCTCCTACCTCTGTCTCCCAAGTGGCTGGGATTACAGGTATGAACCACCATGCCTGGACTGTGAGATGTCAATTCTCAAAGTGATCTATAGGCTCAACATAATTGCAATAAAAATTACAGCCAAGTTTTTTTTTTCTTTTTCTTTTATTATTCATATGTGCAAACAAGGCTTGGTTCATTTCTCCACCCTGCCCCCACCCCCTCCCTTACCACCCACTCCACCCTCTCCCTCTCCCCCCGACCCCCTCAATACCCAGCAGAAACTATTTTGCCCTTATTTCTAATTTTGTTGTAGAGAGAGTATAAGCAATAACAGGAAGGAACAAGGGTTTTTGCTGGTTGAGATAAGGATAGCTATACAGAGCATTGACTCACATTAATTTCCTGTGCGTGGGTGTTACCTTCTAGGTTAATTCTTTTTGATCTCACCTTTTCTCTAGTACCTGTTCCCCTTTTTCTATTGGCCTCAGTTGCTTTTAAGGTATCTGCTTTAGTTTCTCTGCGTTAAGGGCAACAAATGCTAGCTAATTTTTTAGGTGTCTTACCTATCCTCACCCCTCCCTTGTGTGCTCTCGCTTTTATCATGTGCTCATAGTCTAATCCCATTGTTGTGTTTGCCATTGATCTAATGTCCGCATATGAGGGAGAACATACGATTTTTGGTCTTTTGGGCCAGGCTAACCTCACTCAGAATGATGTTCTCCAATTCCATCCATTTGCCAGCGAATGATAACATTTCGTTCTTCTTCATGGCTGCATAAAATTCCATTGTGTATAGATACCACATTTTCTTAATCCATTCATCAGTGGTGGGGCATCTTTACAGCCAAGTTTTTTAAAAACAGAAATCAATGAGCTGATTCTAAGATTTATGTAGAAACACAAAGAGCCTGGATATCCAAAACAATTTCAAAAAGAAGAATGAGCTAAAGGATCTTTGCCTGACTTTACAACTCACCATGAGGCC